TTGCCAGAAATCAAAGGCGAGGTTAAAGAAATATAGGATGGGCGCTAATTATGGGGAAGGGAGCCACGTCGGGGGGCAGGATTATCCCAGAAAAGCAAGGGTATTATAGTCCCAATGTGTCCAGGCCTCCCATCGCAAAACGGAATGCTCTGCTTTTCTTTCTTCCCCTGCCGCTACTGTTTTGTTCATGCTGTTTGCTTCCGCCGTCTTCACGTTTATCATCACATCATATCATTTTCAGCTGTTGCTTTTGCTTCTCATCCCCTTCCCTTCCCTTCACTTCACTCACTTTGGATTTGATTTTTACTTCCTCCTTCTCTCTTGGATCTCGATTGGCTTAAGCGGCCTCTGTGGTGTAACTTCTATCTCTTCCAATAATTACGCGCGGTCTTCCTCGTCCTTGAGACGAGACAACGGGAATGGAGTCAGATCTCCAGCCGCATCCTCCCATGTTTCGCGATCAGCAGCAGATTAATTCGGGGCTGACACGTTACCGATCGGCGCCCACTTCCTATTTTACCGATATAATTGACAAGGAGTGTTTTGAGCACATATTCAATCGACCATCTAGCCCCGAAACCGAGAGAGTTTTTTCGCGCCTTATCAGTAGTTTTTCTGAGGATCCCCCTGCTCAAAATCTCGCGCCCCTCACTGTAAAGCAAGAGGACGATCAGAACCAGCTACCTCAGGCTCAGGCTCAGGCCATGCCATCCATCAACAATGAACCGACGGTTTTGCGGCGGCAGCAGAGCAACATGAATATTTACGATAGTGCTCCTCGTAATCCATACACAAGATCAGCGCGGCCCCCTCTGCCGAATCAGAGCCTCCCCTCAGCTCATCGGTTGCCCCCTATGAAGACGAGACTTGGAAATAGTACTAGTAATCTAACCCGGCATAATAGCTCCCCTCCGGGACTCTTAGCTAACTTCAACATTGGTCCTGGTATTTCCTCCCCATTTCCTTTACTGCCTTATCTCTTTCTTTTCTATTTTGTCTTTTCCTTAATCCAAAAAAAATTTATGTCTTTGGTTCGGCGTAACAACTCTTTAGCAAATTTATGTCTTTAGATTATCTATTCCAGATATTATTTAGCTGCCCGCTCACCCACACTAGTGGGCCTGATTAGTTATGTCCAATTGAGGGAGCGATGATAAAATTAATATGGTCTTGTTAGAATTTCATGGGGGTATATGATATCAATGCCGAGGTCAATATCTGCAGGCTATGCTGCGGCTGTGAGAGGCATGGAAACTTTTGTGGCTGCAGATAACGCTACTGAAGCGACAAGCTTTCCTTCTGCAGGAACGTTGAAGAACCGACCGCCTTACTCGTCAGGGTTAATGTCATCCATAGCTGAAATCGGAGATAAAAACTACACAGAATTAGATAATCCCCGGAAGGAGGCCTTTACTGAAAGCCAGGGCGGTGATTTTATGTCGGGTTTCCTTGAAGATCCTTGGGACGCTTCTGCGATCATGTCTGACAATATTAGTGGTCATAAAAGATACAGAGATGATGAGAATGACGCAAAACCATTTTCTGGTTTAAGTGCGGCTGAAGCCAAGGTACCATGCTGTTAGGGGTAGACGTGGTATCGTTTGTGATCACTGGAATGTGATTGGTCTGATTTTTGTTGTTTGTGATTGGTCAGAATGAGAGGGGAAGCCAGGGCACCTGTCCTCCTCCATTGACTCATCACTTGAGTTTGCCAAAAACTGCAATGGAGATGGCAGCCGTTGAGAAGCTATTGCAGTATTCAGACACTGTTCCCTGTAAAATTCGTGCTAAGCGAGGCTGTGCCACTCACCCCCGAAGCATTGCAGAGCGGGTAGGCTCTATTTTTCGACCCCACAAACTTTTCCCATTTTCTATGCGTAATCCTTTTAATTTCTCTTCCATTATTTTGACTGGCAAAAACGTCAAAACAATGCGTTTAACTATTTATGGAATAAATGTTGAATCGGGGAAAGGGAATGACTGAGCAAATGAGTGGTGGGTTCAGGTTAGAAGAACTAAAATTAGTGAGCGCATGAGGAAACTACAAGATCTGGTTCCCAACATGGACAAGGTAAGAGGATATAATCAAATAAACCGTTTCTCTCGTGGACACTATGATGAGGCTGTGACATGCATAAGTATAATATTTCCTCCCCTTTCCAGCAAACAAACACGGCGGACATGTTGGACTTGGCTGTCGACCACATTAAAGACCTTCAAAAGCAGATTCAGGTATGGCATAAACCCCACGCATCTTAACTGTGTCTGACCATCTGTCAAATTTGTATATGGATGCGGCACGGTCTATTCAATGTAACTCAGATTCTTCCCACATGATTGTGCAATTGTGCAGAAACTTTTAGACAGCCGATCTGGATGTACGTGTTTGCAGAGGCAGCACCAATAACGGGAAAGAGGGTGGATGCAAGACTCGGCGTTTGTAGAGATTTGTACTAACTAATAATATGTGCGAGTAGATATAAACTGGAGAGCAAGTTTCTGTTTCTGCACTGATTAAGAGAAATACATATTATATATAGCATGTAGACTACGTCCAGTTGAGTTGGTTGTGACTGGGGCAGGGGAGAGAACTGGTTCTCATTATCTCATGTTAAAAGGAGGGAGAGAGACACACACAAACAGATTAATAAGATCCAAATATACAAAGGGTGCCATCTGAACGTAGCGTAGCGTGGGCAAAGGTGCAGGAAGTTTGTGTGTTGTAAGCTGACGGGGTGGGGATGAAAAAATAATATCCTTCTATATATTCCACGCGTTGGCATATAATTAGGATTAAGTTATGAAAGGGGCTAAAAATAAAAAGTATATTTAGTAAAAATTTTACATAAATTTTTGGAATCAGAAGTATATAATACTTGTATGATAACAATGAAAATTAAAAATTTGGGCTCATGATCCTTGTCAGCTCACCTCCTTTTCATTTGTCGCTACCGATCACATAGATGGATTATTTGGTGGCTTCATATGCTACTGAGGATGTGACTGAGGCTAACATTTGGTGTTCGCCCTCCTCCGCTCCGATGACCCGTACGGGAAGGACGGTGATAATCTTCCTCTTCTCGTGTCTTTGCTTGCATGCAATTTGTGGGCTGGATTGATTTCTGCTGCCTCCACCAGCAGTTATAATATAATGCGTGCATGCATGCATGTGTTCCTTTGGGGCAAGTCTTGGCCTCTGCCGCCTGAACTTCAGTTGGCACAACCTCAACATTCATCAAGCGTCTAGCTCGCTCAATTTCTTACTACGTTAATCAAAATCAAATAAATATGGATAATTTAGTTCTCATCGCTCGTGAGGGTAATCTGCATCCTGCTTTATTCTTTTTGCTTGCTTCTTTCAATCTATCAGTATGTTATCTCCTACTTCACTTCGTTCTTTTCTGCATTCTGCGTGTACACGTATTCATGTAAGGAGAAGGATCCTTTGAAAAATGCAAAGAAAGGCATCGGTCTTTTATTTCTTCTTTCAAGGTGCATGACAGCCTAGGGTAACCACCTTACCCGCACCAAATCCGAAAACTAACACGAGGGAGCCAAGCCATGCCAAGGAAGCAATGGTTCGGAGGTTTAACCAAATAAAAAGCGGTGTTGTCATTCTACCAAATTAAGGAGGGCCAAGCTCTCGTTCCTGATCATATATGTTGAGTGTTGTTCACCGTTTCTTATTTCATTCCTTGTGGTTCCCCGAAACAAACTTAATAGCCCCATCCTTTGTTTCGTTCCCTCCCCCTGGCCTCCCGCTAAAAACCTAGAGAGACCCTCTTTTAGATAATACTGTTATGATCAGTATAGAAATCAATGGGAATTTTCTGACACAGCAGTAGCAGCAGATTTTAGGAATGAAGTTGCGGAAGAGATACAGGGGGAAACTGAAAGGTAGAAGAAGAGAGTCACAGATGAATTTCCCAGGAACGGGAGGGACCAGAAAGGAAAGCACACACATCAGATAGCATTGCCTTCATATTGCTGAGATTCCATTCGGCTCCTGCTAATGGCATCATGCAAAGGCGCCCCATTTCTTAACTCTTGGAAAAAAATTAGGAAGGAGAGAAAACTAGAGAGGAAAACATGAGAAGAAACAAATTTTCTCTTGCTTGAATAGGAGAGAAAATAAGAGAGAAAGAAAAAGTGAAAGAAAAAATAAAGTGGATCCCATGTCTTATTTTCTCTCTCTATATAGAGAGATTTGAGAAGAAAAATAAGATTTTCATGATTGTCCCTCTTCTCTCTTCTTCTCCATATTTATTTATTTTTATTATATTTAAAAGGTTGTTCACTTTTTATTTTTCTAATATCTTAAAACAATATTTTTATTAAATAATTTGGTTTTAAAACATAATAATCTGAAAAAATATATAAACCAAATAAGTTGATTTCATTTTTTGATGATGCTAATGTTAGTATAATTTTTTATTACAATATTTAATTTATTTAATTTTAAATATGATATATTTTGATAAGAACATTTTAATCATTTAGATATTTGTTAATTTTCTTTTCTCTCTATTTTCTCTCGTCCATCCAAGTAAAAAGAATGATAACAACTTCTTTCTAGTTTTATTTCTCTTTATTTTCTCTCTCCTGATTTTCTTTCTTCTAAACTTAAACAGCAGAGCATAAATGATCACAAGCCACGCGTCATTCTGGGGTCCCACCAATATATGCCGGGTTCATCACAAATACCTACCTGATTTTTAACTCTAATGCTCTTGATTAAACAATCAAAAACGACGCTTTTAACACGGGCCACTTGACAATTTCTTGCTGACTTTCGGATGTGGCTGCCTCGTGCTCCTTATTGTTTTCATACCTTATCAACAGAAAGGACCTCAACTTCCACAGTGGAAGTCCATTTATTCCAATTGTAAAAGAGGACACGGTAAAGCATTCCAAAAAGCAAATATCTTCTCCGTTCTCAGAAATACCCTTCCTTCTTCTTTCCGGAGATCCGCGCGTCTCCCACAATTATCTCTGTATAAGTGTCCATCGGGGACCAGTATGGCCATGACCGATCCCTTTTTGTCACTTCCGTTGTCAACCACTCAAAAATGGAACCTGGGTCCCCACCCTCGTTTTCTGTAATTGCCATTGTCTTCCATCCTTTCCGATCGTCCACTACCTTGTCCTCTTTTTTCATCTTTTATATGGTAAACTTTGTTTTTGTAGAATACGGGAGGAACGAACGCCAACGGCACCCCCCTGTCGCTCCCTGGAATCCGTGGGCATAATGGTAAACTCCCTTCCTGCCCATAGTGCCAGCCTCATGGTCATGGATATATATATATGTATATATGTATATATTCTAGTATTAAAGTCAGCTTTCTCTCTGGCTCACATGCCGTCCCTTTCCCATTCCTTTAAAGTTATCTGTTTTCTCAAGTACTTGCGCTCATGGCTGCTGAAGAGAGCAGCAAGGGAATTGGGAAGGCAAGGCAGGAAATTGCAGAAGCAGTGCAGCGCCAAGGGAATCCTGTTCACTTCTCTGCCCACGACTACCCTGTTTTCACTCCTGTAAGCCCCTCCCTCCCTCTTTTACATCCCAACTATTCTAACCTTTCTTTCCTTCTTCCTTCTCGTTCCCTCTTCCTCATCACATATACTGCAATAGAATTTTCCACTTCTTCACCTTCCGGGATTCTCGCTTTCTTTTGCTTTTTGGTGAATTTTGGGGTCTATGCCCCAATTCTGTGTTGGTCATCCTCACTCTTTCTCATCCCTGTCATTTGTAAACCAACAGCGGAGTCTGTTCACTGTCGTCTTCCATTGTTTTCGGGCTTGTATCTGTTTTAGTGCGTAATAATTCCCCCAATTTCCGATCAATTTTGTTACTTGATTAATTTATTAGCGATGAAATCATGCACAGAGCTACGAAGACGAACCAGTGGCCGCTTATCAACAGGCAGTATCAATTTGGAACGACAGCCATGTGAAAGCAGGACAAGATACGGAAATCATCGTACCCCACTCCCAGTCAAGAAAGGGGCTGACTCTTGGTTTTGTCAATCCCAGCCTTCAATCCTATGTATGCCCGGCCGACGATTCCAAATCTGTCAACGGTTCTAGTGCCAACAACATTACAGTTCTTCAAACATCACCTGCAAATAGTAATCACTTCTTCAAGTCCAGGAGAAGAAACAGCTTGGACGACTTCAACTCTCTATCCTCCTGCAATAGATGTCAGCCTTCCCTCATCACTGCAGAATCTGAAAACAGAAGTAACACTAACACTTCCGAAGTTCTTGTCCCTTTCACCGATTCTCACTCATCTCTTCCGTCACAACCCAAGAGTAAGGGGATTATTTCTTGGCTATTTCCTCGGCTAAAGAAAAAGCATAGCAAGAATGAGACTTCCCCAAACAGAACTGAATCCGAGGAAGTTTCTCAGGTTCTCAAGGATTTAGGAAACGTATCAATCGAAACACTGAAGAAAGAGCTGATTGAAGCAAATGAGAACAGAGATGCGGCCTTAATGGAAGTTTCCGAGATGAAATCTTTATTTGGGGAGCTTAAACAAAAATTAGAGTACTTGGAGAGTTACTGTGAAGAGCTGAAGAAAGCATTGAGACTAGCAAAGGATTGCCGTGTTCGTGAAAAGCTTAATAATCTGCCCAAGCGAGGAAAACCATCTGATGGGAGTGCGGAAAATGTGATGCCTGTGAGCGAGGGAGTAATGGTAGAGGGGTTCTTGCAGATTGTATCGGAAGCCAGATTATCAGTGAAGCAATTCTGTAAGACCCTTATAAGCCAGATTGAAGAAACCGATCGTGCCTTAACTCAGAATCTGAACCAGCTTCTCCAACCATACAAGCTGTCTCTGAACGCCAAGTACTCAAAGGCTGTGTTATACCATTTTGAAGCTTTCATTAATCAGTGCCTCTACCAAGACTTTGAGAATTGTGTGTTCCAAAAGAATGGATGCCCAAAATTCTTGGACCCACATCAGGATCGTCAGACACATTTCTCATCATTCGTAGCACTTAGGAATCTGAGCTGGAACGAGGTATTGAGAAAGGGAACGAAATATTACAGCGAGGAGTTCAGTAAGTTCTGCGACCAAAAAATGAATTGCATTATCACTTGTCTGAATTGGAGTCGGGCGTGGTCTGAAGAGCTGCTCCAAGCATTCTTTGTTGCTGCGAAATGCATATGGTTGCTTCATTTGCTGGCACATTCCTTCAACCCACCATTGGGGGTTCTAAGGGTAGAAGAAAACACGAGTTTCGATGGGCATTACATGGAAGATATGTATGAGGATAGGCAGAGATCACAAGGGCCAAGCAGGGTGAAGATGATGGTGATGCCAGGGTTTTATGTTGGGGATAGGGTTTTGAGGTGTAAGGTCCTTTGCAGGTACAAGGCTGCAACCTAGGCTGGTAGTTGTTGTTGTCCGTCCAAGGTCTATAACTTGCCAAATGAATGTGATGCCATGGTTCTTGGTTCCCGAGTTTGTGAAACGAGTAAATACTAAATAGGTGTTGATCTGACAGTGAAAGCCATATGCTAAACGTCAAACTGTGTCACTGTAACAGTAAATCATGCATTTCAACTGAGAAGCATATTACGATGCACTTGTGCAAATGCTTTGGCCCTCTTTCTTGGCATTATGAGTTATCAGATTTAGACTGTTGAGTTCTGCACCGACGACACATAGGAAATACTCAATTATGTTATGTGAGAGGAAAACGAAACCTAAAGGAGAACCAATGAAGACAATGTTTTCAGCGTTGACCCAACGATGTGAAATGGGTTGCCATGTATTAAATATTAATGTATATTTTGCTTCATAATGCCTTCCATACTTCACTGCTACAAGTGAGGCTATTCCGCAGACTTTTTTGGATTTAATAAATCTAATTTGTCTCTCTACACAACACCGGCCATTTCTCTTCTTTCAATAAAGCAGGCGCTTGGGAAGGCTAAAGAGGAATTAAAGTAGGGCGTGTTTCTTTATTTGGGAGCTGGGACTACGATTCAACCGAGTTAGGGCTGGTATTTAAGAAAATTACCATTTGATCACGCCGTTATTCTAATTGGAAAAGAGCCCCCCGAGAGAAGACACATTTGATTAATATCCTCGATGAGATTATTAATTCAATATTGTGAGAATCAGACGTGACATTAATAGGACCGGTATTAGTTAAGATAATATAATTAAAAAAATATGTTTGAAAAATTAAAATTAAAATATTTACTAATATATTTATTTATATCCTTATCACGTGTGAAGTTTATAGGTAATCACGCCAACATTATAAGAAAATATTTATTATCCATTATATATCACCAAAATCATCCAATATCCCACATTAATTGTTCGGCCGCAAACAAACGCAAATTTTTATTACTTAAAATAATGAATAATTGTGTAAAAATGATTTATATATCACCAAAATCATCCAATATCCCACATTAATTCTTCGGCCGCAAACAAACGCAAATTTTTATTACTTAAAATAATGAATAATTGTGTAAAAATGATTTATTTTTTCCGTCTAAATTCTTACTCGAAGCTATCCAGAATCTGAGCCGCTGATGATTGAGATGAGGCACGGGATGCATTAAAGCAGTGCCTCTTTGCTGGCAAACAACCTAAAAAGGATTGGGTCACGATTTGCGTTGACTGAGGAAAATTCGGCCATAAAAAAAGAAGAAGAAATGTTTGTTTTTGTCATCAAGAAAAATGAAAAAGTTAGCAACATAAATGGGTCCAAGGCCACAAACCTACCCCCACGCCCCAGTCTGGCACTCAGCGAGGAGTCAATTCAAATTACGAATAGATTAATAGGGGGAGCCTGGATTCCGAGGCCACCAACCTCCTCCTCCTCCTCACAGACCGTGTCCGACCATCTTCTCTCTGTGAGACTGTGAACATGGAGGCTCCGGGCAAACAAGACATGGACATAGTGCTGTTCCCTTTCATGGCGCAAGGTCACATAATTCCTTTCCTCGCTCTAGCGCTTCAGTTGGAACGAAGCACAAACAATACCATCACCGTGGTCAACACCCCTTTCAACATCCAAAAGCTGAGGGCCTCTCTCCCGCCACACTCCTCCCTCAACCTCCTCGAAATCCCTTTCCATGCCTCCGACCATGGCCTCCCTCCCAACACCGAGAACACCGACGCTGTGCCTTACAGCCTCGTCATTCGTCTCCTAGAGGCCTCCACTTCTCTGAGGCCCGCTTTCAAGCTCCTCCTCCAAAATCTCTTGGACTCGCAACACCACCGACGGCCACTCTGTGTTATAGCCGACATATTCTTTGGATGGACTGCTGGTGTGGCCAAAGAGGTCGGTGCGTTCCACGTTATCTTCAGCGCTTCTGGAGGACATGGCATGGCCTGTTACTATTCTCTCTGGTTCCATCTCCCTCGTCGGAACGGACAGTGCGATGAGTTTTCACTGCCCGATTTTCCAGAAGCCGGCCACATACACAAAACACAGCTACCGACCAACATATCGGAGGCGGATGGCAGCGATGCGTGGTCATTGTTCCAAAGGAAGAATCTTTCGGGGTGGGCTGACTCAGACGGGATCCTGTTCAACACACTGGAGGAGATTGACTCAGGTGGACTGCACTACTTTACCAGAAAGCTCGGCCTGCCGGTGTGGGCGATCGGGCCTGTGGTCTTATCGACCGGGAGCGGATCACGCGGCAAAGGAGGCGGTGTGAGGCCAGAGCTATGCCGAGAGTGGCTGGACACAAAGCCATGCAATTCGGTATTGTATGTGTGTTTTGGGTCAATGAACACGGTGTCGGCGGCACAGATGATGGAGCTGGGGATGGCGTTGGAGCGGAGCGGAAGGAATTTCATATGGGTAGTGAGGCCCCCGATTGGGTACGACATCAATTCGGAATTCAGAGCGGAGGAATGGCTGCCACAGGGATTCGTGGGGAGGATCCGAGAGTCAGGGAGGGGGCTGATAGCCATTGGCTGGGCGCCCCAGCTGGAAATACTCTCGCACAAAGCCGTGTCTGCATTCTTGAGTCACTGCGGTTGGAACTCAGTTTTGGAAGCGCTGAGTCACGGGGTCCCCATTCTGGGATGGCCCATGGCTGCCGAACAGTTCTTCAACTGCAAGTTTCTGGAGGAACAAGTGGGCGTTTGCACGGAGGTGGCCAGAGGCAAGAGCTGCGAGGTTCGGCATCAAGACATCGCCGCCAAGATTGATGCGGTGATGGCTGATCAGGGCAAAGGGACCCACATGAGAACCCAAGCTCATCGACTCAGAGACATCATAGCTAATGCCTTCCGAGATGAGGATGCCTTTACGGGGTCTTCTATCCGTGCCATGCGTGATTTCTTACACGCTGCGGCCACACTGAATGATCGTTGAAAACAGCATATACCCATTTCATGTATGGACGCATGCCCATACCATCCCCCCCCCCCCCCCCAAAAAGAAAAAAAGGGTAACCACAAACATAATCTGCTTTGCTGTTTCTGTGCTGTCCTTCGATATCATCTCGTCATGGAAACAATCAAACACACTAATAAACAATCCACCATCTATGTTATGGTTCATTGACATTACGAAAAAGAAAAAGAAAATACATTCCCATATAGCGTAGAACTTCAGAAAGCACATAATTTGCTCTGCTATATCTGTGTTTGTTCTTCGATATCATTTCGTCATGGAAACAATCAACCACACCAATAAGCACCCTATCATATGTTATGTTATAGTTCATTGACATTACGAAAAAGAAAAAGAAAATACAATCCCATATAGCGTAGAACTTCAGAAAGCTTTTGGTCGGCAGCATCGCAGCACGTTTTTGCCCTGAAAATTATGGGAGCACCAATTGCCACGAATGACGTTTATGTACACAAGGGCACACCGTAGCAGCCATGCAAACTGACGTGCGAAGCCAGTAATAGCGCATCAGGATGCACGCGAGCTCCCGCCCTCACTCCACCAAAAGCTAACCGATAAACTGGTAGTCAGAGATCGGACATAATGCCACCACCCTGGCGGGATATATAGCATTTCCCCTTCTTCTAGAATACAGTCGACAAATTCCAGGTCTTGCACCTTCGGAAACTTGACTTCATCTATATCGTCTAAATCCACCTTCAAACATAAATTTTCCAATTAACATGGAGGTAAAGATTTCAAAATAAATCAATATCTCATTTTAGAAACAACGACAGTAGATGAACGTAAATAAATCATGCATCGCGGATGTGAGGTTGTAATAACTAGTTCAAGCACGCAAAGCCACTTGGCTGCCAGTGCAAACACTCATCATGGGAAACAGCATAATTCTGGAAGCACCGAGGGCACATTAAATCATACTTTTAGTCTTAGAATTCTTTGGCCATTCAGATAGGGGCGCAGAGAAAGTGGTATGCTACCGGCAAAAGCAAACTGCATAAAGTTAGCCAGTTAAATGTCTCAATTTACCGAGTACCTGGCTGGAATTACAAAGCATGATTTCCGTGTAAGGGTAAAGTTCCTCACAAAAAGATGCAGAGTAAAGCCTGATATATTTCTTTCCAACAACCTGAAATCATCAAACATAATAACAATCCCAGTCACGCTCATACTATAACCGCTGTTCAATTATGTAACGGGTCTTCAGATAGCTTTCAATCCTATAAACCAAGGGGGGAGGAAAAGAAATCCGAACAGGATGTGACCACGTAGCGTCTTGGAACGCATAGAAAGTTGCCAAAAAAACCAATGAACAGTAACAGCGCCAAGTATGGGAATCATTTTTGCATTTGGCTTAAGACATGATTTAAAATTTATAGAACTCGAGGATGGGAAAAAAAATCCATGCACAATACATCAATGTTGTTGACATAAATTATATTCACAATAATCTTTTATCCAAGAAGCATTAGCATATATACTTTGAGAAAGAGCTATCTCCGTGTCTGACCAATAAAGAACGACACTTCAAAATTTTTCTTCAACCATCATGGTGATGATTTTCATTCAACAGGTAACACTATCTCTCATTATATAACAACTATAAAATAAAGGGACAGAAAAGTGTAAAAGTTCTATTTTGCAAATTTTTCCAAGAATACTAAAACCAACTTACCTGCGCTAATATATTATGGTGCGGATCATGGTGTAACGGCGTTACGGTCCCAGCTGGACCAAACCAAGCATTGACAGATCTAAGCTCACCTCCGTCAGTAAAACAATAGTCTGGTATACAAATATCTTTTCGAAGCTCAGTTATCTGTCATGTCAATAACATCAGTAACTAAAAGCAGTACTGGCATGCCTAAATTACATAAGTTGGGAATGCAAAAAGAAACAACTATATAATATAAACCTGATCTGAAGGGGGAAAAAAGGAAAAAGAAAACCTGATCAAATAATGGATGCTGAGCCAGATATGTAGGATCCCACGAAGCGCAGCCAGGAGATTCAATCCGCTGAAGAAACTCAGAGAATGTAATTAGCTCTTGCTTCCACTCTGCGCATAAGTAGTTCTTCCCAACCTGTAAAGCAAGCCAACATGACACCTTCCTTCAAAAATTTATTAATTGAAAAACATAGCACAATTTAATTATTTTTGCCCACAACGTGCATGTAATTTATGATTAGCAAAATAAATTATTTAACCCCAAAAATATACATGTAAGTTAAGAGAGGCACCAGGGGGGAAGTTAATTTACAGTTTGGCAATCGTAGCTATGGCAAGTGTTATACAAAAATACAGAGCACTGTATTTTCAGGAAGGAAAATGTACTCCCCCCCCCCCTCTTGTCAATGGAAATCAAACAAATGCAACCGCTCTCTCATACACTACATTTGTTTTTCAAGTGAGAGGAGGTGCATTATTAACAAAAGTAAGCAATTAGAGTAATTACCTCAACTGGAATTGTGCGGTCACCTGCAACTCTTTTCAAATAATCTACGTTATTCCATTTTGCCTTGGCTGGCCAGTGATCCATAGAATCACTGATAATAACTGGGGAACGAGTCAGGTAATAGTCTTTTAGAAATCTTTCCAATGACAGAGCCGACTTCTTCATCACAGTTTTACTTGACAAGGACTTGAAAGGTAAAAATTGGAGTGCCTACAAGTGTAAAAGCTATAGCATAAACATTAGAAGGGCTGTGCAATGTGGTGGTAATCACCTCATTCAAATCCAATATCCTAAGAACAATTAGGAAGGAGACAGAAATTTAAAAGAAAAGGCCTAAAATATCTACATTGATGGATTATCATCTTGTATGGCGATGCTATTTGTTCTGACATTTTTTTAGGATTTCAAACTAAGGTGAAATTTCTATTACATCCAAATTCTTGTATACTACTTCAAAAAAGAGTTAGAGGGAAACCAGAGATGCATCATTATCCCAATAAAAGTTCTTGCGCGAACTAAAGGCATTACAATGTCCGGTGAGTATTGACCATTGATCAACTCCTCAAATTTTGCCCGACAAGTTCCAATTCACGACGACATTATTCTATGGAAGGTACAACAACAAAATACAGTTGATCATCCAAATAAGTAATTAATGCCGAGATGGCGCATAGTATGAAACTATATTGGATTGTTCATCAGGCTTCATAGTAACACAAAGCCAAAATCTTCATTAAGTTAGAAGGACGTACAGACCTCACCTCAGTGTTATTAAGTTGCTGACGAATAAGTGGATGCTCATGCTTTTCCAGACCTTCATAGCAATCTTCAGAAACCCCAATGTTTCTGACCTTTATCGAAACTTTCTCAACAGCGGAGTCCAAATCCTTCCTTAGAAGCATCCCTCCCATGATCAGACCCATATCCAAAGACTTGAGGGCCTCCTTGAACTCACCAATTCTATAATGGCACTTGGCCACGAGGAGGCAAGCCATAGAATATGCATCACGCCACACAGGGAGGACAGAGTGCCAGGGCCCCGAGTGAAGCTGCTCCCACGCCATCTCGCGAGCCGCTTCAGCAGCGCGAAAGTCACCAGCGGCCGCCAAGAACGCCATCCTGACATAAGCGTAGCCTCCGTGCTCGGAAATGGACTGAATAAGCCCCGAAGACTCCCTGTCTAATGTCGGAGTGTGAAGGTCAGGCGACTCAAGGCCGGCCATGGGGGAGGCTGCGATGGTTGACGACACTGGTCGCGCAGCACTCGCGGCGGTATAATAAACAAGAGCCCGTGAGATATTTCTTCTGTATCTTGCATAAAGCGAAAAAGATCCAACGCCCCGACCCCGACTGATATTTTCTGCTTCCCCTCAACGAAGATTCTAGACTAAGCCCCGACAGAGAATGTGTCATTTGCGTAACTTATTGGGAGAATGAGAATTAATGACCCCGCTAAAATGAAAAATGATAGTTTGGCACCTCAAATTGTCAAAATTGCAGTTTGGTGCCAACAGAGAAGGGTGAAGGGTTTGGTCTCGTCAAGGAACAAAAAATTAGACTGGACACTAAATCAGTTGAGATAATGATTCAAGAGTTAGTTGGTCGGACTGAGGTCAACTCAGGATCCAATCAGTCATATTAAAATAATATAATTTAATTAAAAATAACAAAATATAACAATATTAAAAATCACTAATAACAAAATATAAGAAAATATGATAATAATTTGATTGTAACAATAACAAAATATAACAACATTGAGAATTTTGATCTTTATGATTCATTATTAATTAAAATTAATAATTATCGATACCAAAGTTATCATTAAAATTCATTTAAATTTATAGGGGCTGATATATTAAGAGCTACATGAGAAAAAAAATAAAACTAATAACAACCTAATCATTCAAATCAGTTTATTACCGGTTCACACCTGTTTGACCGGTTCAATTCCCTCCCAATTTAGTATTCAAACCAAACCAGTTCACTGACCGGTTCATCAATTTACCGGTTAAACCGGCTTGTCCGAACTGGTTTTGTGTTCACTGATCTCGATGCTTATCTCTTTTTTGTTTTTTGACCAATAGTGCTTATCTTTTCTCTTTAATTATCTAGATCTGGACAATTTAGATTTAATTTCCTTTCTATTTTTATTTTTTCAAAATAATTATTTTAATAGGTATAGAGTATTAGGATCTCAAAAAAAACAATCACTTAATTCACTTAATCACTTTAACTTATGTTTCATACTTCCATTTGGGCATATAATACTATACTTCTTTAATCACTTTAACTTATAAATTTCTCAAATTTCTATTGTAATTGTTTTTCATATTGGCAGTGAATATAAACCCTCTTTGAAATTTATATGAGCCCCACATATACTGTATACATATCTTGATCAATCAGAAGAATATTAGAGGAGAAGAATTGCATTCTAATAATCAACACATATATGCAAGCAGATTTTAATTATTTATTTTATGTGTGTAAAATTTACAAACAAACATTGTATATACATGTGTATATGGCTATAAAAAAATAACCAAAGTCAGGTGTGCTGCAATGAGATGATGCTCATTAATTAAATCACTTAATTCCCTTGATATATGTAATTCACATTTATAGTTTTTGGTTCATGTTATATAAACTCCTGTCTTTTTGACTAAATTGCCCATGAAACTCTGAAGAACTTATGAGAGAAGACCTGAGATGTCCCCAAAACAAGACATACTCAATACTTCTCTGGCTTAGTATATCTATTATTAATGGCTTAATAATTCTTTGAATAAAACATCACATTTTATGCTTCGGCTTCAATTATATTTCAATATTTAAAATGACATATGCTGATGTATAATATAATGAGAAAATGAGAATATTATGCACTCTTATGATTACAATATTATCTTGAGATTTTCTTGTGTAAAGATTAGGGGTGAATATGAATGATTGCAAAATTAGAGTTTTTTATTTTTATTTCATCCAAAAAAATTGGACAGGATTTCTTAGTCCCTTACCGAGATCAAGACAAGACAAGACAGAAGTCCCATATCATCTCTGTTCACCGTAACTGGGATAAGATTGTCCCACTCTCATCCCGTGAACACCTCTAATTAGTGGAACCGATGATATGCGATGGAAGTCACGTCTTATCCCGCAAACAACGATATTGTAATCCAAGAGACGGCTTGCTGTTTCACAAAATATCAGGCTAATGTCATCATATGGGGAAGAAATAGTGATAACCTATGGGTTGTCTCAATGTTGGGGATACCGAAAACCCCCTCCTTGTTCACAGGGGAATGAATAATAATAAGTCAAATCTCCACATCAGCCTAAGGTGCCCACGTTTCAATTGCCTTCCTCACCCGAGTCTGAACATTCTCGTCAACCAACGTCACCAATCACCCACATTGTATATGAAGCAGGTTATTAACAGAAAAATCGGCAGCATCTGCGCTGCAGAAGTCAAATACAGATCGATGTAAGAACTAAAGATGGGATGAATGAAAGCTCTCTTGAAAAACATGTATACCGGCATTCTGCTGTCACACGTAGAAAGAGGAATAAGGCCATGGATTTTTATTAAACTTGGAGTTACTTCTATCAATGTTTAATTTAGCCAGTACAACAAAATGACTAATTAACATGAAACTCTGGCAATAATCAATGACAATGAAACGGTACACCTATATCACAAATTCATGGTTTCATTCTTCCTCCTGCTGCTCTCTAAATTGATGACATCTAACATTAAGATTATCACTTCTCAAATCGAACAGCACACTGATACTGATCTGGGAACTTTCACCCAGCAGAACAATTTACCGCCAGAATTTAAAGTTCCTGGTGAAGGATGGGAGTCAAGAAACAGAACTAGAACAAGCCATTCTACTGAGGGTTGATTTGGGAAAATTTAAGAGAACAGCACTTACAATCTCTGCCCCAAGTCCCCAGTTCTAAAATCTATGCCCCAAAGTATTCCATCATTTCATCATCACCCAGGATGTCATCAAGGTCAAATGGCGGAGTGCTGAGTCCTCCAAAATCTAATGACAGGCCATGGATTGGCGATCCAAGGAAAGGGTTTTCCATAGGTCTTTCTAGCTCATTTTGAAATGTATCTTTTACATAGTACTGCAAGTCTGCTCCAGTAATATCACCCCCTTTCATATGTACAGCTGGCATGGGGGCTGCATCATTCCCTTGCCTAAACAGTTCACTGTTTCCAGATTGCAGTAGCTGGCCTTCGTAATTGGGCCTGAATCCTGCTGCTGAATCAGAAGCATTACAAGTATCTTGATGATGTGTATCAGGATTTTGCATTGCATCATAGTGCAATGTTCTTCCATTCACATGCATGCTTTCTGAGGTAATTATATCGTTCGAATTCAGGTAAGGGTAGTGACCAAATTCATGACCTGGTATTTGAGTTGTCACCTCAAGACCTTTCTCCAAGGGTGTCAGAGCAGAATCTGTGTCATTGACCTGTTCGCTTCCCTGAATTTGGAATCCAGTTACTGGTACTTCCTTCTGGGTCTTATTTAGCAGAGTGCTTATAGGCTCAACATGCAAGGGTTCATTTTCAGATGGTGCAGGTATTTTGTCAGAGGCACTTGATATCAAGCGGGGTTTTTTCTTCCAGCGTTGCTTCTCAGGTCGCTCTTTATCTTGGACACAATCAGCACTTGTTCTGCGTTTATCTAATGAATCAATATCCATCAACTGATTTTTCCTATTATCTTTAGAAGAAACAGAACCAGCACCGTCATCAGCACCGTCAACATCATAGTTGCTATCACTGCTACCAGGCCCTTGCGTGGTTTCAACAGGTACACCGGGCCGTGTTTTAGTTATTCCAGATGAACCATTATCACTACTAGACTGCCTAATGAGAGCTTCTTCTCGACTTAATACTCCTAACCAAATTGCACTTTCCTTTGCTGTCATCTTGTCCTGCAAACACTTTGACTGGCGGACATGCCTCCTTATTTTTGCAATGTTTGGTGACATGTGCTTTATAACTGCAGTTAACACTCCAACTTTCCACATCTTCTTCAAATCATGTGGCTTCTTATAAGGAGGACTCTGACCATGGGGTAGGCCTAATTGTACCCACCAATCTTCATTCCCAGTTGGCCACCAAGGTGGAGGAACACCCTTTTCCAATGGATACTTCCGCTGAGGAGGATCACAATGTTGCATCAGAGAAGAAAGAAGTGACCCAAGCGTTGCATCTTGCAGGTCCTGGAGAATGCTATGTGAGTTCCCATTGTGTTTGTTATCAGCCTCACTCATAGCGAGACACTCCGCTTCATACTTGGCTATAGCTGCAGGACCATTTTTATCAAATTTTACCTTCTCTTTCCACCAAGCTCTAATGTTATCTGAAGCACCACTCACAGGCTTACCCTTCTCGGGAATAATTCCATACACAAAACCACGGGCTTTACAAACTTCCATAAGCTTCAGCATATACTTGAGGATCCCATCTTGTGCTCTGGACATTTTTTTCCTGCGAGCTTGATCGGAGGTTTGCTTGGACTTTTGCTTCTCCAAAGTCTGCTGCGCGGCCACCTTCTGCCTTTCCTTGATCCTTTTGAGTTTGATGCGATCCTTAAACATCCGCCTCTCCAATTCCTCTGGTTCAATCTCTTCATCACTGACATCTTTCTCCGCTATGGTTTCGCATCCAATGTCATCAGCTTCTATATCCGAACTGTAGGTCAATGTGTCACCATATATCAGAAGAGTATTCACTGAATTAAGTAAGAAAGCCTCTCAGTCTGGCTGCTGAGAATATCTATTGAAATGAAACATGGAACGGATTTGGAACTCGCAAATTAGAAAAGGCTATCTTGAATTGCTCTCCAAAGACAGGACTGAACTTACATATATAAAATGTTCATTGTGGCATACGGAAAGGAGCAAAGAGCAAACTCTTATAGTATAAGAAAAACTAATAACCAACGGTCAAAATTTCAATCCTTTCCTCCCATCGTTTCTCAGAAACCAATTTAACAAATTAATGCTCAGGATTACAAAGCAGACATAGATTACATATAATACTTGAAACTGTTATTAAGTTGTCAATGCCCTCGGTGGAATCAGAAAACTTGAGAGCCTCAGGGAACACTCATCGCAATACCAAAATACAACAAAACTTAAAAATTGTTAAAATTTTGTTTCGAATGAATCTGTATGACCCGTGAACTTCAAAGAGCGAACAAAAACAGCTCTCAGACATACAACTGGCATAAAAGAAAAGGCAAAGTATACCGTAAAAATTTTTTGAATAGAAATAAAAGAAACTTCAAAAATAGAAGTAAAGTAACGAACTTGAAACTCATAACAAAATCAACAGGCATTACTCATACCCAACGTCAACTCCAATTTCTTGGATTTCACCCATCTATAAATATGCAGGGGACAGATGAGTGCCAAAGTCGATCTAATCGAGTCGTTTACAGCGTCCCGATTATGAAAATCGAAGGGGGCGATGCGAGAGGGAAGAGAATCCACCTAAAAATATGAAGTGCCCAGACGGGGTTTTGACTTTTGCTTTTACGGGTAAATCCGAAGGAGATTGAACGCTGCGTTGCTGCGACGGGAAAAGTGGTTTTGATCTTTGCAGATGGAGATGGGCAGAGAAAGGAGGGAGATGCCAAACCTCATACGACAATTGGGAGAAAATCAGAAAATCACTTCGTACTTCGGAGGCCGCAAGATCCCCTACAGCGCGCCTCTAAATTTCTAGGGTGGATCTTCGCGTTCTCCTTTTGCTTCTTTTGAAACAGGGACTCAGATTGTTAAATTTAAATATTTAAATATAGTAACCCATGCATGAATTTTTATTATTCATTGTCGATTTTTAGAACACAAATTAAAATAGAGGTAATTTTTAAAAAAAGATTGTTGAAATAATATATTCTTTCTTAACAATTTGATGAGAAAAGGGTGTGGAAAATTCATTTCAAGTTGAAATCATAACAGATTCCAGATTGCTGTTGTTAATAAATTCCACAAAAATGGAAAAGTGCTGGAGTATTGGATGCTAATTATGTCTTTTATACTGGTCAAGCAGCAGAAAGTTTTTGTTGATACTGTTTATCTTTTAATGAGTTGTGCTATTTATAACTCACGAATAGAATAACTTAGTACGCACATTTCAATGTTTTTAATATAGAACTTATCTGCTTTAGAAAATATGATGATTTATTAGAATTTTAATATGACATATATCCATATAGACCCATGCTTCCATGCACTTGCTTTCTCTCGTATGTTGCTATTCGCGTCTACTCCTCATTTCTGTACACTTCTTTTACCCCAAATTACAAAAACAGAAACCTCGTTCGCATCGTCAAACTTCCAAAATAAAGAGAAACCCAAACATTCGTCTAATTGAATATTACAAAGTTATGGGGACAATGGCCACCCCTTACATAACAAAATAATAGACTAATGCTAATATTTATTCCAAGCAAATATTTATCACTTCTTTGTTCCAGCGGAGAGATCGCAATTAAATCTAGGGAAAATGACAATAAAATACCACTTGAATTCCAAAAAGACAAATAAGGGACCTGAATAAGCAAAATGACAAATAGGGCACTGGGTACTAATCTGGAATTTTGATTTTTGATCTCAAAACATGTTGCAAAACCCATTGACAAAGTAGTAACTCTCACTATGAAAGTTGTAAATCCCACTATGTGTTTTGTAAAATTCAGCGTGGAATTGTATTGTTTTTTACAGAAAAGTTGCCTAACCCCTCAAAACAGGTTGCAAAAGCCATTGGCCAAGTAGTAATTCTCATTATGAAAGTTGTAAATCCCACTATGTGTTTGTAAAATTAGGCAAAACTTGCTCGGCCCTTCAAAACAGGTTGCAAAACCCATTGACGAAGTAGTAACTCTCACTATGAAAGTTGTAAATCCCACTATGTGTTTTGTAAAATTCAAAATCAAAATCCCATATTGGTACCTAATGCCTTCTTTGTCATTTTGCTTATTCAGGTCCCTTATTTGTCTTTTTAGAATTCAGAAGGTATTTTATTGTCATTTTCCCTTAAATCTAACTAGTTTTTCTTCAGGAAATTCTTGAACCAGTGAGCAGACAATTTAGGGTATCTTTTCAAGTCATCATTGTAATCAACGAAGTTGATTCCAAATCGTACAGTGTATCCTGAATCCCATTCCATGTTATCCAACAATGACCACGCGAAATATCCCTTTACATTCACACCGTCCCTTACACGTACAAAAGCCAACCAAAACATAAGAATTAAAATGTAACAATGAATACTTTTGAAACAATAGACATATATATGTGTGTGTGTGTGTGGGGCGAGAGAGAGTTCTTTTCATAGGGTGCTACTTACCTAATAGCAGTTTGAAGATAATAGAGATGACGATAATAATAATCAATTCTATAAGTATCCATAAGGGCTTCCTCAAGTGATAGTGTTGGATCATTATATTCGTCATATCCTACAATATGCACCAACGTAATAAAATTCACTTAATTTTCTCCGGCATTTAACATTCACATCAACAATGCATGCATGCAAAAAGAAATATGACCAACGTAATACCGTTTTCGGTGATGTAGATTATGGGGTTGTTGTACTTTCTCTTAATGTAGAGCAGCAGTTTTTGAAATCCTCTTGGATAAATGCATAACCAGTCTGAAGCACCCTGTACATAAATGAAGGGTTGTGTAATATTTTTTTATGATTCACTGAGTAAAAGAAGACCATAAAAGCACTGATATGCATCTGCAAATAAAGTGGCACAGAGATACCATTGGTCCAAGGGGCTTCCCATCACGGTTATCTGTCATAACAAAACAAAATGCATGCTTTTACAACGACAATCAGAGTGTTGTTTTTCTTGAATTCTTTTAAGCCATCAGAACTGAATTAGTCCTTGCATACACAAATTTATAATATCTCATATATGCTATTCTTACTTGTAACATTAACTAAAGAATCAGTCTGTAGGCTTGGTTTGCTGGGATTATGTAGTTGAGGTGCATCAGCAGCATAAAAGGATGAGTAGTAGTTTAAGCCAAGGAAGTCAAATGACCCTTTAAGTAGCCTGGATTGCTCTTCAGAGAACTTTGGCAACCGGTTTCCTACTAGAGATTGCATGCTTCTCGGGTATTCACCTTTTGTGAGTGGTTCCATATACCTGAGATCAAAGATAAGAAGTTCATGTACCCACTTGACATTTGTCTTCTTTCCACTATCATCTGCTTGATTCTGCTGCTTTATCCAATATAAAATTTTGGCGCTCCTTAAGTTGTACCCAGCCCCGAGTCACAAGAAGGGGTCCATAAAAAGGCCCACCAAATATCTTTAGAATCACGAGGGCTCACATAATTCAGTGGTAATGGTCCCAAACTAGCCTAACAACTTCAAAGGAATCTTTCATCAGAGTGAAAAGCGATAGATGCAAGGAAGCTAATCTGTCCAAGTAGTGGTCAAATTATTTTTATTCAGTTTTAACAGGACCAGCTTTTACTCTTAACCTTTTGCAACACGATAAAGAAATGTAATGCCGAACATATAGAGTTCTTACCATCCAAACATGAAGTCAAGAGCTCGGTCAGCAGCATCAGAATCTGATTTGCTGTTGGATAATGGTACGAACCAGTCAGAATTTAGGGTTATGCCTATCATACCCTTTTGAGAAGCCTGCGCACTTATTCAAATATTCTGGTTATTTGCTAATAATTCTACTTCACCTATGAATATGTTTACTTCAGTGTTTGGCCATTCTATTAAAAAAGTCAAATTATCAATTCTTTTGGGCTCATATTTATGAAGTTATATTCTTAATCAGATCCAGCACCTGATACTTGATCTTATACGCTTGAACAGCAGCTGCATGAGCAAGAAGTTGATGGTGGGAAACCAAATAGGGCTCTGTCCCTGAATCACCACCGGTGCAATTCATCTTCAGCCAAGCAGAACACCGACCAGGTGCAAACCTGCCATTTGCATAGCCATTCTTGCTGACACTCCTTGGTTCATTCAATGTAATCCAGCTCTTGACCCTATCGCCAAATTCCTTGAAGCAAAGCTCGGCATAGTCCCTAAAATCCTCTCTGCACATAACTTAAATCGAAGCCGTTAGACCTTATTTATGAGAATTCTTTCTCAATAGTCTTACAGTGGAAATCGAGTTACTTACACAATGTGAGGACTTAAGAAGCCGCCATACTCTTCTTCTAAAGCTTGGGGAACATCCCAATGGAAAATGGTTACAAAGGGTTTCAGGCCTGAATTAATTTCAAAGGTTTGTCATGTTTATACCTTCGTCATAAATATGATACTACTACATAATAAAGGGATAAACGAAATCAAAATTTAATTTTGACCATTAGCCAATAGCTCGTCGATGAGGTTGTTGTAATACTTAATTCCTTCCTGATTAACACCTCCTCCAGCCTTTCCTTCTGCAGAAAGTCATAAAAATTTAAAAGGGTCAAAGTGAAACGGGTACCTAGTAAACAACATCAGAGGCACGTGAAATAACATTTGACTTACTCGGCAGTATTCTTGACCAAGAGATGGAGAATCTATAAGCGTCCATATTCATATCTTTCATGATCTTGACATCTTCCTATAATATGTGACAATCTATCATCATACTATAATGAAAAACAAATGAAATGAAAGAAAAAGATCTTCAAGATTAGAGTTTGAAATAATCAGCCAGTCATGAGAGCAGATGTCAATTTTTGTGTTCAGCCATCAGTCATGTGGGCCAGACCTTATACCGATGGTATGAGTCATCAGCTACGTCTCCATTGCTTCCTCCTTTTATTTTTCCTGAAAACCAGATCAATTTAAACTATTCATGTCAGTCAATCAATAAAGAGTACGTATTTATAGTTGTCTAAGATGAAAATAGCGTGAACAGAAGTCTGAGAATACTTTGACTGGACTAGCTGAAAGAAAAAATCAATAGCTTGCTCATTCAGTGGCATCCAAAACCCCAAATTGAGTTATCCAAATAACAGGGGTTGGTAGCAAATCAAATAAAGTTAATTATGCACAAAAATAGGCAGAAATTATTATTCTCTCTGTGAGCGCGCGCGCGCGTGTTCAACAGAAGCAGAAAAGAGTGGGCAAAATAGTTTGGAACAGGAAGGCCGATACCTGTGAATTTATGGGTGAAGATATCCCAATTACTAGGTCCTTTACCATCTTCATTTGCCGCGCCTTCGTACTACATAACGCATTGATTCAATTAATTGTACATAATACATATGGTTCAAATCAAGATAGAACTGTGGAGCCAGAGTATAGATGGACCTGGTAGGCGGAAGATGCGGTCCCGAAAATGAAGCCCACAGGGAAACTGGCGCGATTAAGAGAAGAAACGTCAAGGATGGGTGGAGTTGCAGCAGATTGCATCAAAGTGAGGGCAAGCAGGACCGAAAGGCGAAGGAGCAATGCCATAAAGTAAAGTAACTGAGTTCTGTGTTCTCCCATACCCAGCATCTGGGCTACGGGAAATCGCATTTCTTTCTGAACTGCACTAAACAATTTTGATCCGATATCATCGAGAGCTACGCGTTATGAAGAGCATATTGGCCACAAGAATTCTTATGATGCTTTCGCCCCTAAGATCCTGGAAACGGGGAAAAAATTAAACTGTAAACCCATAAACAGTAAAATCTGAGCGAGTGTTGTGCGCGTAAATTGCTTTTCCGGCGCACCCCGGAGCAAATGGATGAAGGAATTTTGATGTCGAGACTAAAAGGAAAATGAAGATTAATGCTTCGACCGAGCTTGGAACAACCTTAGCAATTCCCAGAGGATGCTGGAGCAACCTAAAGCGGGGAAATTCAGGCGCTTCGCTCAAGGGACCACCCAGATCATGCCACATCATCCGTCTTGGCCATCTCAAGGGCATCTCCATGGCATCAGTAGAGTACGGCATCTTCAAACTTGTCATGTCAGATATTTGAGATTTAAATGGCGGCTTTAAATCTAAACACTGGTAGTTCCTGACATGCGACAGTCTGAGTGAGACGGTCCTGTGCGGAAGTTCAAAATATCGGAACGCTTGAATTAGAGCGAATTTAAAGCCAATGAACCGTAAGAATCTCTTTTCCCGGCTTTATCAGCGACTACACCACCTCAGCACATCGGCCACAGCGTAGGCCTTGGCGCCAATCTGGCAGGCCCGCCTTTCTCCTTAATTAATTACATCTTAATTCTTAATATAATATCTCATATCTTAATTATAAAAATTAGTTGACTAATTTAAAGAGATTTAAAAAAAAAAATTAAGGGTGTGTTTGGGTGACATCCCAAACCATGGTTTGGGGTGTCAATCACCCAAACACCCCCTCTAAAAACCAAAACCATGGTTTTGACTCCAAAACCATGGTTTTGGAAAAAACAAAATTTTTTTGCTTTTGGAGAAAAAAGGGAGAGTGTGAGAGCCTATATGATATGTATCTTGTTATTTTTTTATAAACATATTTTTTGATAAACATATTTAATCTTATATTTTATAAATATATATACACATTAATTATTTATTAATTATATTATCTTATGTATTATTAATTATGTTGGTAAAAAATATATTATTAACAATTTTATTCCTTCAAATTAAAATATATCATAAAATCTATTTTTTCTGTAATTATCATATTAACTTATGTCTTTTTTTTAGTAATTTGTATATATAAAAAGTGCTTATGATAACAACTATCCAAACACTCTCACTTCTCAGAATCACTTTTTTACAAAATCTATTCTTCACAGAATCTATTCTCCCCAGAATCTATTCTCCAGAATCACTTTTCCAAACCACGGTTTGGTTTCATCCAAACACACCCTAAGTTAGTTATTTGTAACAAATATGTGTTATCTTTTATGAAATATCATTACTTATCAAGTGTAATAACTAGAACTACTATTGTTATAAGGATTATTTTAGGAAAAAATACATAAATATAAGAGACAAAGTGAATTGAGGTCTTATATTTAGGACCAAAATAAAAGTCAAACAAGGTCTTATATTAAGGACCAGAGATAGTAAAATCTATTTAACTAATTTTATTATATTAAAAAAGTTAGGTAAATTAATTAATTATAAGAAATGTGGCATATTTTTCCTAAAACACCATAATCATCTTTCTTAATATCTTCCCTTCCTCACTTACTTGATTATGATTGAGGGAGTATCTATAAGGGTAATTTAAAAAAAATTGATAAATATAAGAAATAGGTCTTATATTTATGACCAAAATTAACTTAGTAATTAGGTAATATATTAAGGATGAGAGGAATACAAATTTTTTTGGGGAAAAAATACCCGGAGTTCATGTAATATTTATTATAAAATAAAAAATTAATTTTTCTTTTAAGAATTACATAACAGAGTACACGTACACGTATACTTCCTCGCAATGGCGCCTCTATGCTTTATACTACTATTATAGTATAACTATATCCTTCCACTTGGTTGGCCTCCTTCCAAAAGTCAAAGCCAATATGTAGCCAAGTATAATCATGTTTTGCTCTGAAAGTAGTAACAATAGAGGAAAAATCATGACATTATTATTAATACGTGTTACTAGCTCGGATCCTAATTATAAAATTAGTTGACTAATTTGAACAGGTTAAGAAAAGAAGTTAAATTAATTATTTGTAATAAATATGTGTTGTTTTTCTAAAACATCTTTGCTAAACAAGTGTATTTGTTATAACTATCATTGTTAAGAGGACTATCTTGAAAAAAAAAAGTATAAACATGAGAGACAAAATAGATTGAGGTTTTATATTTAGGACCAAAATAAAAGTCAAATAAGGTCTTATATTAAAGACCGGAGGTAGTATCTTACAAATGAAATAGACCATTTATTTTATCCCTTTTGGTTTGTTTTTAATATTCTGTATGTCACAGGGTAGAAGAGAAAAGAAGACCACGTATATTGTATATATACAGCATCGATGGTCGATAGCTTTAATATGTATTATCGTGAGTACTGCCGTGATGATTAACAGCAGCACATTCATGTCATGTCATTGTTTATTGCCTTACTGAGAATCATTTGGCACACAAAATTAATTAATTACTATCCGCGGTCCTAATTATAACAGAGGATTGTTATACTTAGCCTTGACGTAGAGCAGCATACGACCAATCAGATGCTGCCTGCGCAGGCATGGAAATAATTAAATACAGCTTGAAGCTCAGCAGATAGTAATGCTAATGCACGCAACCAGAAGAATTACGCACCCTTGGACCAATTGGGATCCCGTTGCGCTCAGCTACCATCCATAGCATTTTTCAATTGTATTGATTAACACGACTAGGTAAATACTACAAGGTCAAAGACAATTAATTAAGCGAAAGGAAAGATAAATAAGTAGAGGCGAAGTCAGAATAGAATACTCGTGAGATTGGCGTGAGAGTCAGTTTGATAGGAGGGTCTGGCATTGCGGAGGCAAGGTACATTGGCGGCATAATTAGCAGTGTTAGTAGTTCATGCCAAGAAAGTCGAAAGAGCCTTTGAGAAGGTTGGATTCTTTCCTCGACAACTTTGGTAATCGGCTTCCCACTAATGCTCTCATGCTCTTCGGGTAATCTCTTTCTGTCAACAGTCCCATAAACCTGCATATATATATATATATATATATATATATATAAAATCCAAGATGAAATACTAGCTAGGGTTGAATTTCTTAAAAACCTCTTCTTTTGCTTTTGTGATCACCCAGTTGCTAATCAGTACTTAATTGATTACCATCCAAGCATGAAATCAACAGCTCTTGCAGCAGCATTTTGACCAGATTTCTTGTTGGACAAGGGCAAGAACCAGTGGGATACCAAGGTTATGCCTATCAATAAGTAGTGGGATTCCTGCACATAGCCAAACACGCAAGCGCAGATTAAACATGTACACATATCAATAAGTAGTGGGACTCTAGTTGATTATGTTGAATGCGTATATTGAAGGGAGAGAACTATATATGTCGTGCATGAAACTTAGAATTGTAGATTTGGACGGCAGAAGCGTGAGAAAGAAGGAGGTGGTGAGCAACAAGATAGGGCTCGGTGGAGGCATCGCCGCCAGTGCAATTGATGAGATAGAGCCAGGCGGAACATCGACCCGGTGCCAACTGCCCCATCGCATACCCACCACTGCTATGAGTCCGTGACTCGTTCAGCCTTATGCAGTGCTTCACTCTGTCCCCAAACTCCCTGAAACATAATTCCGTGTACTCCCCAAAGTCCTTCCTGCAGCTCCGTTAATCATTCCTTAAATCCTTTCCTATTAATTGAGTTTCCCATTTCTCGATCACTCACGCTATGTCAGAGCTCAAGAAGCCCCCATACTCGTCCTTGAAGGCTTGCGGAAGATCCCAATGGAGGAGCGTTGCAAATGGTTTTAAACCTGTGCGTCCGTCATTTTTTGCCCATCGTTAATCTCCCACCCCCGCACATAAATAATCTAAAAAAAAATTACTACCTCCAGTACTTAATATAAAAATTAGTTAAACTTTTAATTTAATCCTAAATATAAGACTCTAGTGCCATTTGTCTCTTATATTCATTTATTTTTTTAAGTTAGTTTTTGCAATACTTGTATGTTAATGGTTTCATCAAATACTAAAGCTAATATATTTGATTAGCAAGGATATTTTAGAAAAAACAACACCAATCTATTACAAATAACTTATTTAACAAAGTTTATTAGTCTGTTAAAATTAGTCAGCCAGTACTTATATTAAGTATTTGAAGTAGTAAAATATAAGGATCGGATAATCAATACTAATAAAAAGTTGGCTCCTGACCCTTGGCCAGTAGCTCGCTGATGAGGTCGTTGTAATATTTGATTCCCTCTTGCCATATGCCCCCACTCAGCTTCTCCTCTGCGCGCACACAGTAGTAGTAGTAATTATAATAATAATAATCCATCGAGCTCGTCTAACTAAAAACTCTACAAAGTATATATTGAAGTCATAATAACACAACTTGAAATTTTGACTTACTCGGCAGGATTCCTGACCAAGAAATGGAGAACCTGTAAGCATCTAAATTCATATGCTTCATGACTCCAACATCCTCCTGTGTCAGGTCAAAAGAAATGGGCAACGGTTGTATAAAAATATGTACACTACTAGCTCCAGTTTCTAATAATATAAGAAACAGTTGATTAATTTTGATGGGTCAATAAAGTTTGTTAAGTTAATTATTTGTAATAAATAAGTATTATCTTTCTTAAAATACTTTTGCTAATTATATGTATTAGCTTGAAACCATCACATTATTTTATTTGTAAATTGGAGATCGATTCAAAAAACAAGGGGCTTAACACGTTGATCATCCCCGTTGTGAAAGTAGTGCTGAGGCGTTTACATGATAAATGACCCCTGTTAAATAATAAAGGAAGTGATTAAATTATATATTTTTGGAGGATTGAGGTCATTAAAATAATTAGTTTGATTCCTAGATTGACCTATGAGACACCCTCATACTTTATACCGATGATATTCGTCATTAGCTACATCTCCGTTGCTGCGATCCGATATTTTTTCTGCAAACCAGGTAATTAAAAGACACGCAATTAATTAATTCATTTGTGCTGTGGTTGCCAAAAAAAAAAAAGTAAAAAACATGCTATAAAAAATATTGCGCATTCAGCTGCAGTTTTGACCAAAATGTATATAATTTGTCTTTCTCGCAATTTTCAAACACGCGGCAGGGGCTTTTGTGCGGAGATCCTTAGGTTTTTGACAAGAAATGTAGGTGAAAATTAAAGTATGAAAAATAAAGATAGGCTGTATAAAAATAACAAATAAAAAAGAGCACATATTAATTGGAAACGAAATAGTTCTGGTTATAAATGTAGGCAATTTTAGACGCACAACTGGACACGAGAAACGAGCGCTTGATGAGGATGCATGAGTGAAAATAGGTCAGACCCTTTTTCAAACAGGCTTACAGCCTGGTCTGCTTACTAAAGAGGGGAGGCTTAAACATCTA